TTCTCCGCTACGTCATTGTTGTCCCAGTCAGACGACCAAAAGCGTGTCTAATTTGAAGAGTTCCAGTAATGGAAATAGAAAGTAATGGTTTTAAAACTTTCTATATATGTTTACGTTTTATAAGTTCAATTCATCTTCTTTTAAAGAAAAGTAACATTTAACACACCAGAAAAATATCGCACCTTAAAAATTCATTCGCATAAGATAAATACCATTTTAAGCAAAAAAAATGTTGAAATTGGTTAATTTATGTCTTTATTCATATTTATCCTATTTCATTTATGATTTTGACGGTTAAAAAAATTCACTTTCCCCCTATAAAAATGTTTACTCCAAAAACATACAAAAGGGGATATAGTTACTTAAATTTTCAATTCATGTGACCAGAAAATACTTAACATAAATTATTTTCATATTTTTAGGAAGATAAGTTTTTCTACAAAATATCAAAATTTCATAAAATTTCGAGAGAGGCCAGGAAATGGCCTTATCGAAACTCCCCCTTTAAGAAAAGTGTGGTCAAAGTCAGAGGAAAGGTCAAAGTAAAAAAAAAAGGTGTTTTTTTTTTAGTTGAATGACTCTTATCAATATGTACCAAGTTTGATAAAAATATCTTATTATAAATAGTTTCTTTAAAACTTAGCTAATCACAAATTTTTGAAAAGTGAGGACAAGGTCAAAGGAAAGATCAGGGTCAAAAAATGTTGATGCAGTTGAATAACTCTTATCAATTGCCATGATTTGAGCAGAAAAGTAGTGTCAACCACATATAATAATAATAATAATAATAATAATAATAATACTTTATTTAAAGAGGGTAACCCGATTAGTGCAATGCACTAGTCTTCCTCGGGGCCCTCTAAACATATTAATAATAATACAATTACATGTATGAAAACATTGTACACTCTAGAATTAAATAATACAACATGATGGAAAAATACAAGTACAATTAAAAGTTTAGGACATGGAATTACGTTACTTAAACAGTGTTGCGGCAAGTTATAATAAATTTTTCCACATTTTTATGAAATGTGTTTACAGTTGGTGAAATACGTATATACAAAGGTAATTTGTTCCATAAATGAACACCGGAATAATGAAAAGAATTTTTAAATTGATTTGTTCGATATTTCGGCAGACGAAGGTCATAGTTGGTTTCAGATCGTAAAACATAATTATTAGAAGAAATAAATTCAAAAGAGTCTCTTAAATAATCAGGTGCCATACCATGAAGTGTTTTGTACAGTAATACATATCTATGAAAATCAATCAACTCATATATGGTAAGCCATCCAAGTTTTTCAAATAATGGTAGTGAAGGGGCATCATAAGCCACATCTAATATAATCCGGGCTGCCCTTTTTTGCAATATAAAAACTCTATCTATGCCAGCACCTGGCGCATTACCCCAAATAGTTAGACAATAATTTAAAGAAGGCAGAATGTAGGCATTATAGAATAGTTTTCTTGTGTGTAATGGGAGAAATTTTTTAATTCTGCGTAAGGTATATAATTTATACGTCAAAGATTTACAAACTGAGTCAATATGGTAATTATAGCGCAATGAATGATCAATATATACTCCCAAAAGTTTTTCAGATTCAACATTTTCAATTAATTTGTTTGAAGCATATAAATTTAATTCAGGAGAATTTATCTTTGATTTTCTATGTTGAGTTCCCATAAGCATACATTTTGTCTTATTGGTATTCAACACCATTTGATTTTTGGAACACCAATTTTCAATCTCACACAAATCAAAGTTAAGGGCATTCTCAATACCCTCTACATTTTTATGATGTGTATGTAAGGTTGCATCATCAGCAAACATATCAATATCTGTTCTATTTACATGTAAAGGGAGATCATTTATATACAATAAAAATAATAGGGGACCTAAGATAGATCCCTGGGGCACTCCTGCTGTGACAGGCAAGAAATCAGAGGAATATGTACCTATTTTTACACACTGAGACCTTGAGGTTAGATAACTTAAGAATGAAACCATTTAATAGCCATTTGGTCAAAGTGATATGATTGAAGTTTACTTATAAGGATATCATGATTTACCAAATCAAATGCCTTGCTAAAATCAAGGAAAGTTATGCCTACTAGATTTCCTTGGTCCATAGCTTGTAACCAATTATCCATTAGTTTTGTTAGAGCCGTTTGACATGAATGAAATTCTCGAAATCCAGATTGTGATTTAAATAAAAGATCAAAGCTAGAGGTAAAGTTACGTATTTGATCGTCTATGTGTTTTTCAACTAATTTTGATAATGTTGGAAGAATGGATATGGGTCTGTAGTTCCCTGGATCTGCGTGGTCGCCATTTTTGAAAATAGGAGTGACTTTTGCTTGTTTTAAACGGGATGGAAATACACCATTAGTAATGCTAGCATTTATAAGATGTGTAATAGATTTGCATATAACATTTACCGAAAGTTTTAGTAGACGAGGTCCAATAAAGTCAATGCCTGCTGACTTGTTCACATCAAGTGTATTCAACATATTAAATACTTCAAACTCACTTATTTGATTTATACTGAAAAAATTTTCTTTCCCTAGTTTAGTTTCTGTAAATTGATTTAATAATTCTGAATCAAAACTTTGTACTGATATATTTGCTAATAACTTACAGGATATTTCTGTAAAGTGTTTGTTAAAAATATCAACAATATCCTGTAAATTTTCAAAATCCAAACCATTTTGTGTAATACGGTTAGGTGTAAAATTTTTGGAATCGGATGCCAAATGGTTTAAATAACTCCACATTTCTTTAGGACTTGAACTTTCTTCAATTGCTGATTTGTAATACTTTGATTTGGCTTGATCTATTAATTGTGTGACTTTATTTCTCCAAAATTGTAATTTTCTGAATTTCTTTGTAGATGGTATGTATCACGTAAAAGTCTAGCATCATTTATTTCCTGTGTAAGCCATTTAGGTCGAATTTCAGTCTTGACTCTTTTATGAGAATAAAGTTAAAACCACCTGATCAGGTCTAGGCGGCCTCTGTTTTTGGAGGATAGATTTTATCCTCTGAAAACAGAGGATAGCGGTCTTGCCACCTACCGGAATTTTCAAAACTAAGGGCAGTTAACTCTCAACCAAACAAATAACAACAACTCTTGCATTTATGAACCGTCCGCTGATTTCGAAATAAAAACAAATAAAAAGCACAATTTCATATGATGATGGATAATTCCAGATATTAAATCATTATAACTATATTTTTGTAATTGCTGTTAATCAGTTATTCCGTATACAGCTTGGAAAATAAATATTGCGCTTACCTGCCTGTGTCTGAGGTTAATTATAACCTAGCTGATTTTCCAGTACCGTAATTTTGTGATAAGCAGTTTAGAACTCTTGATAAAGAAATTTGAAAAAAAAAAAATAAGTTTAATCATTTATAATTTCTTTCATTTAATAATTCTTAAACACATGACTTTGTAATATTTTATTTGTTTATGTAAACACATGGCTGTATGAATATATGTTAATTTCTTAGTTAACATGTTAAATTATTTATTTTATTTATTTATGCTATTCAAATTATTTATTTATTTTTATAATTATTCATTTAATCCATTTATAGTTCTGTTTGCTTCAATTTTAAGGCAGAGTATATTTTGCGTTTTAAATACGCTTAAAATGCATTTCCTTTTGTCTTACTATATTGAATTAAAAAAAAATATGAAAGAAATATTAAAGTCCTTTTTTATTTGTATATAAATAGGGAAAAATCATAAAAATAACAAGAAATATTCAATAATAATGGAGTGCAAAAAGTGCCCACTTTGAAAATAAATTGCAAAATATCTAGACATAGAATCTCAAATCGCCACTTACAATCGATAGATTAATGTTTGAACTTTTATTTACATGTACTCTGGTGCTTGCACTTTTTGATTAAAGGTAGGCACGAGGTGTTTGAAAATTACCTGTGCTATCCTCTGAAATCAGAGGATAAACTATCCCATAATGCAATGCGGTTTCCATATATGGTAAAAATTTTGGTCGCCATATTGAATCTAGCTATCCTCCAAAAACGGAGGCCGCCCAGACCTGCTGATACACCTACTAAAAAAATGTATTCATCAAGATAGGTGAGGGAGGTTATGAAAGGTCAAGCAACTCCAAACCAGGTAAACAACAATCATTTATAATTGACCGTTTCACTATAACTGCAGTACTGCTCTTTAGCAGGGCAAAATGATAGTTTGGTGAAAAAGGACGTAAAAGCAATTGTTTGATATATGTCATTTTATTATTTGTCTACAAAAACTTTGCTAAATGTTACTTATTTGCCCTGCAAGAGAGCAGTACTGCAGATATCATGAAAGGGCTCATAGGGAAGGCCATTTGGATTTTCGATTGTTTTTAAACACGAGTACATTGGTTTACATTTTTTCTTCCTTCGCATATATGTAGATTTTGATAAAATTCAATGACCAACCAAAGGAGGAAAATGTACGTATTTGTGCTCAAGTATTTTAAGGGCTTTCAGAAGACTGGACTGAAAATCAATATTAATGGAAATATTGGATCTAAACAGTGTATCCCTACCTGAAATAAAGATATTTTAATACCTTCCATATAGGCTAAATTTTTTTTTCATTTTCGGTAAGAGTTGTATTCCATGAAGGTACATATATCAAAGATTAAGCTTATGCCAAATGTTGCGCAAAAACCGGATATTTGTCTTTTTGTAAATCTACCCAAGGCCCGAGCTGGGGCCCTGTATCACATCTATATTTTCTATATTTCTATATTTGCAACTCGTTGATAAAATTTCAGGTGCCTTTGCTACAGTGTATATATGTTTTAACAACTTTGATTCTGTCTTATTCAGATCATAACAAAAAGTGTTTTGTACATTGTTTTCGTTCCAGACGGCAAACCATTACCTACCCAGGCTACTTGCTACTGTCCTTATATTTCCCGCTATTGATATGAAAATATTCATTTGGATGCCGAACCCGATGCGAAAATTTAGCAATGCATTCTGGGTACAACAGATGAATAAGTTGACGCCATGTTAAAAAATAATTTGCATACTTTTTGTTTTGAGGTGAAGTATTGATGGTCTATGACAATTTGAAAAGACACAACACAGATCGATGCAACTTGAGAACTTCAGGACACAATGGAGATGCTTTGATCACTTTAACTGTGTGTCGTTTGTTTATGGCGGCGACTGATCATAACGTTGACCTACTCCAGGCAGAAAACAAAATCAGCTGATCCCTCCAATGGATACAAATAATTAGCAAGATTTGTGACAAATGATTAATGGTTTTGAACTAACTTTTGTTTACTATAGATGACAAGACTCTCTCGGGCTGTCGGTCGCCAGGTGCTATGGACGCGGGAGACAGGGAGCAAGCTTCTGGCGGAGAGTCAGGACCGCTGACCATCGACGATTTACCGGCTTTTTACAGCTCTGATGAGTTGGAGCAGTTGGCGGGTCAGATTTCCCAGTCTCTGGAGCAGGAGCAGTCAAAGGAGCATCATGGAGTATTTCCTGTTCCGGGATTCCAGGAGGTTTCCTCCTCGAGACGAGTGGCAGCAGAGGCACGTTCGTCAACCATCCCCACTCCCAGCTCACCCATACACAAGTCAGCTGGAAAAGGTACAGATCATTTCTTGAAGTTGTAATATTTGTGGCATTTGATATAGATCTTTAAATAATGCTGTAGATAGAATGTTCTACTGTTAAAATAATGCTGTCCCATGGATCTGGACATTCTGGTCAAATGATGGCATTTGTTTTGTGTATCAGCAATGTAGCAAAGTAAACAGGGGTAGATAATTATAATTTACATGTATCCCATAAACAATTTAAAGAGATCCAAATGAGAAAATGGTGGATAAATCTGAAGAGTAAAAATGTTGAGAAAACAATTTAAATTCTTGAAATGTTGTTTATCTGATTGTACAAGTTGGGCAGCTGATGTAAAAATTTGATTGGTCATTGGATTTAGTCAAATAGCATTCTTGTAGTGTGCAAAGGGTTGAGGGTTCAAATCTCATTTTGTTTCTAAATTTGTCAGTTCCTGTTTGTGTATAGCAGTGGCATATCAAGGCAAAAATAATGTGGATCTATCATACTTTTGTGACTGCGGGGGGGGGGGGGGGGGGGGGGGGGGTAGCTGGTGCCACATTATGAGGTAGGGGTTTGTTTATAGACTGAACATGAGCTAGGGTTTGTTTACAGACAACAACCTGAGCTAGGGTTTGTTTACAGACTGAACAACCTGAGCTAGAGTTTGTTTACAGACTGAACAACCTGAGCTAGGGTTTGTTTACAGACTGAACAACCTGAGCTAGGGTTTGTTTACAGACTGAACAACCTGAGCTAGGGTTTGTTTACAGACTGAACAACCTGAGCTAGGGTTTGTTTACAGACTGAACAACCTGAGTTGATTATAGTCTGGAATGTTCAATTTAAAGAGATTCAGATTGATATTTTGAAGAGAATGGTATTTAAAGCATGTCAGCTCTATGATGCATGGTTTCAGAGGACAAGCAATTAAATCATGATTTTCTTAAAAGAGCTGATTTTATTTTGTAGTCTGACCAATGAAGGCTGATTTTTGTTGACTATATATATTTATGTTACATCAGACAGCATTTCCTGGTTTTGCTTACAGTTTCTGAGATAGGTTTTGACAAATATAAGCAAGTTTTTGTTCCATCATCTAACATAAGCATGGTTTTTGCTACAGTATGTGACCAGGTTTAGACAGTTTTTTGTTTTAGAAAGTAACCAACACATTCAAGCTTATTTTTGTTTTACTCAATAATTTTCATGTCAGAAATATAGGTTTTGTGTACAGCCTTAAATTAACACCAGTTATTTGTGATAGTATGGTGTCCATCTGTCTGTTAGTGTGATTGTCTATAGTATGTACCAGTATTAAATATTTTGAGATCTAGTTATTACATATTAACAGCAGTTAAATTGTGAATTAGATATGGATGGTATGGTCTTATTTAAAAAAAAAAATGTAATTCTAATCATGCAATCCAAAACATTTAATGTTTGATATCAAGTTTTGAGAAATTCAGTTCTTTGTTGAAGGCACAAAATATGGAATATGATTAGACTTATTACCATGATAGATAAATGCTGTAAATAACTCTGAATTGCAATATGTGAACAGTACTTTTTCAAATTAAGTCATTATTTCTCCCCATTATGATAAATATCCCTGTCTATTTTTTTGAAACATGAAAACAATGCTTAAAAAACATGACATTTGAAAGCTAGCTGGTGGTAGTGACAGGATTTATAATTGTGTCATTGCACTCACAAATTTCACTGTTACTAGTACATTGACCTAAAAATTGATTACAACAAAGAGGAAACATTTTTTTCCTCTTTAATACAATACTGTTTTTGTATTCAGTGGCCTATCTATTGATCAAGTTTTTATGAGTATGGCAAATTTGGTATTTCAGTATATGGAGTAATTGTGATCTATGAGTTTTAGTAAAGCCAGGGATAATTAATGAAGCTCATTAAAATGTTTTAATGTAAATTAGGTAGAGTGGTTGGTAGCAGAAGTTATTGAACTTTGTGTACTGAGACTGAGTTTACGTAACATTGACTGAAAACTAGGTTAGGGTGTGTTGTAGTGTTTGTAAATCGTGTTGGCTAGGAAGTGATTGTTATCAAACACTCAAAGATAACAAGTCTTTTATGTTGAGTTAAATTTCCTTTTTATTCCACATATGGCCAAAACCAACAAAAAGAGTTGAAGGCCAACCCAGGCTTAATAAATGTATTTGACAGTCCTAAAACTGGTTTATCAGAATATGACACCCTAATATTTATTTAATGATATTACAGCATGAACTGAGAATAGATTTTAATACTCATTAAGAGACAGGTAATTACATCACTAAATGTACTTGCACTTTGATTTTATTTCAGCAGATATTTTAATATAATACAATGTACATAGTACATGATATATCTACTATATATACATTGACTTAGATGTACTGTAGAGCGGGGAAATGCTAAAGATCACTATGACAGATGGAGAGACATACATCTGTAGATTATATTGCACTTATATGTGAGTCCTTGTCTATACCATTACACCAGGCATAATCACTGTTGATCAATAACCCTATCTTCCATTCATTAAAAAAAATCACCTATGGTACACATTAACCTCTGACGAAAGAGAACATTGAACTTTACTTAATGATGTCTTGGGGCAGAAGTGAACCATCTTCCAATTTGAATTAATATCTTTGATTATGATGTTTTTAAATAATACTGTTGTATCGTGTATATTTTTTTCCCTTTTGGTCTCACATGAATGTAAAAAAAATAGAATTATTAGCTCTTTATTATGTTTCTATTTAATAATACCATTGTATCGTGTATTTTTTCCTTTTGGACCTAGATGAATGTAAAGAAAAAATAATTTAAGGAATACATTTTTTCTTATTTTTTTGCTCCTTAATTTTATTTCTTCCCTATACTTACAGTACACGTACTATGATCAGGGATAATGGTCATTGACATGAAGTAGATAGTTATATAAAGTAACAACCATTTCATTCTTCCCTGTTAGATTTGTCAAGGGATAAAATCGGTGAAGTGCTCAATGAATAAAACACTAGTACATGCATACACGGAAACTGATTGCTGAAGTTTTAATTCCCATAGTTGAACATGCATACACATAACAAGTTTATTCATTCTTTTATGAAACAGAAACTTATAAACAAAAGTTTAATTCCTATAGCCACTCTGACAAAAAAAATTGATACTTATTGTCCATTTAGAACTTATTCCTCTTACTTTTACTCTCATCTAGAGCTGTGAGTTGATTTTGTAACAAGTGAACATACAGGGCTGCAAGCTCATACTATTCCTATGTTTATGTTAGCCTTTGTATTGGCAGTATTATTTAATGTGGATAATGTACCATCATTATGATAGTGAGCTTGCTTGATGTCAGTAGGCATGGCTTATGTTTAATGATGTTGATCATGTTAATTAAGACAGTGATAAATCCTTTTGATATAAAGTATATGCAAGGGTTGTCCCAGAAAAACATACACATTTCAATATTTTGAATTTTTAATGCTACCTAGAAATTTAAATAAAATATCTTTATAACATTTTTCTCTGAGTTAAAAGAATTCATCATTATTTATGTGATTATGGCTGTTGTCGCAACACAGAAGACGTCAAAATGTAGTGTGTGGCATTTGTAAATCTGTTCAAGAATTGTGCATCTGTTTTTAAGGATTTAAAAAGTAAATTTCTTAGAAGCAGAAATTGGACACTGTATTTGATTTTCAGCTTGTTACTGAGGTACTTACTGTAGATTCCTTATTTTAGTTTTTACGCGAGTACTTATTATCGCGAAATGGCTCTTAGACGTCTAATTGTGAGCAATAATTCGCGAGTGGACGGTTGATCAAATATTTACAATAATTTTAGCACCCTAAAAATAAAAGCAAATAATTTTATGTCGTGTGTGGTGCTTCTTGCAAAATTACGTGATAATTAATTCCTCGCATATATTTAGGAATCTACAGTATTTCAAACACACTAGAGTCATTGAAAGATGGCAAAATTTATTCTTTCAGTAGGCAATTATCCTAAGCCCGAGCATAATCCAAACTTCTCAGAAAAAGGAAAGAGAGAGGCCATAGGGAGTTATGGTGTAAATTTCATTGCAAAAGCTCAAAAGCTTCTTGAGATATTGCCCCGAAACGAAAGTGTTACACACAGAAAAAATGTATGAATTTACGACCTTGACCTTTGCCATTTGTCCTCAAAATCAATAGGGTTCTTCTTTAGGCCATAGGGAGTTGTTATGTAAAATTTCATGGCGAAAGTCCAAAGGCTTCTTGAGATATCGCACGGAAACGAAAGTGTCACAGACAGACAGAAATACAGATGGAGGAACGGACAGACACTGAAATTAATATCCCCCACTTTCAGTGAAAGCTTGGGACAAAAAACTGTGTTCTCCATGTGATTTGCAACTCTCCCTTTCCATAAAATAATAATGCGCTCAAAGTAAACAGTGAATTCACAAATAGAGAGATATTAATTTGATGTATTTATTACATATGTATTCAAGAATTGTGATTTGAAAAAAAGTTTACTGACCTTGCTCATTTGCCTTATTGCAATACATACATAGAAATGTATAAATTTAGAGAGTACATTTTCAATACTTTTCTTAGATACACAATAATCCTAACTGAGGAAATAAAATATGCTTTTTATTTTTAAGAATATAGAATTTATCTCCATAATGGAAAATGTCTTCCCAGTCTTCAATCTCCAGTTCTGCTACATTATTTACATGGACATTTAAACTCCAAGTTTTCATTTGTAAGATAAAACTGTCATTTCCTATAGGTGTCTTATGGCTAGGAGAAGGTTATCTTTAGCAGTTGAGTGAAATTTAATACAGTGTACCAGAACAGAAAAAAATCTTAAATTGAATATGTAAGTTATAAAAGCTTTCCATTATTTCTCTTTCAGCTCAATTTGAATTCAGTATATAATCCTTGTGATAGACACCTTCAACCATTGAAGACAGAATTAACATTTATGCACTAACCATAAATTTTATATAAAAAAAATGAGATCACCCTTTTTGCACTGGTGAATGTAAAATGTTGGCATGCATTATACAAGACTCTCAGATTTCTTCAAATATTTTGTCTCTGTTCTCAAAGTATCTAATTTTGTGTTTGTTTAGAGGAGCAGGCTGGGAACATTCAGGCTGCCGCTGACTCCAACAGCCAGAAACAGTACGTCCCGTGTAAGGTGTGTGGAGACCGAGCCTCCGGCTTCCATTATGGCGTCACTTCCTGTGAGGGGTGTAAGGTGAGGTCCAGATCAGAAATTATAAATATGTGTGTCTACAGAATCACTTCCCTGGAGATGGGGCGGGGGGGGGGGGGGGGGGGGGGTAGGAAATGAGGGGTCAGAATTATAAACATGTTTGTACATGTTGTACGGAGACTTCCTGTGAGGGGTGTAAGGTGAGGTTCAGATCAGAAATTACTGGGTATAAATGTGTCTACAGTCACTTCCTGTGAAGAGGGGGGGGGGGGGAGGAGAGTGAGGGGTAAGAAATTATAAACATGTTTGTACAGAGACTACCTCTGAGGGGTGAAAGAAAAGAAATTCCTTTATCATCAGGATTGTGTTTTTAAAGTTAATGGTTGAATGTTTTGCAGCTTTATTCAGTTTCTAGATAGATATCTAAAAAAAAAATCCCTGCTCTGTTGAAATGTTTTAAATAAAACATATGTACAAACATATCCCTCACAGAGAGAATTCATAGCCGTAACTGTAAACAATAGAGTGACCAATAGATTGAAGTATGTTCTGTTTTTTTTTTTCAGGGATTCTTTCGCCGTAGTATACAGAAGCAGATTGAATACAGGTGTTTACGCGACGGGAAATGTATGGTGATACGTCTTAGTCGCAACAGATGTCAGTATTGTCGATTTAAAAAATGTTTGGCTGTGGGCATGTCCAGAGACTGTGAGTATCTGGGGATCTTTTATATTGTAAACTGACACTATAACAGGGGCATTATAAAATCAAATTTTTTTTTTTGTAACTGAAAATAATTTTTATCAAATTATAACTGTTTACATATTTTTTTTCTAGCTATTCAGTACAGTCCAGTTCTAGTACAGAAAAACAATTGTTCCTATTAAGAAAAATCTTTGTACACATGTAATTACTACTTTATAAAATTAGTTCTTCATAACTGTATAAACAAATTCTTAAGTGTGTACTTCAAAGTGCATTAACTAGGACAGTTTTCATGTAGATTTGAGGGAGTATACATATGACAATGTATTCTCTTCATGACCCGTACAGGGTTCGAAATTCACTATATACAACTCGCAAAACGCGAGTTAGAATTCCCAAATTGTGAGTTAAAAATTAGGTAACTCGCAAAAACTTGCGAGTTGATATTTTTTGCATTGAAACTGTAGAAAATTATATAATATGACAGAACACAATACTTTTGATTTAAATCAGTAATTTAAATAAAAGTCACACTGTAGTTGTATTTTGTGTATAGTACAGTAGTTACTTTTTCCTTAAGTTACATGTATTTAATTTATATAAATTTAACTTTGTATGAAAATTGCGAGTAGTCTTATAAAAATGCGAGTTCACTTTCTTGGTACTCACAATTATTTGTGAGTTGTAATTTTAGGGAGTTTCTAACCCTGCCGTAATCACTGTAGTACATACTCAAAGTCAGTAATAAGATATGCTAAGGAAGTTGAAAAATATAGTGCTATGATAACATTGAAATGTAATCTTTGAGAAATAAGATGAAATTCTGTCCTAAGACAGAGATGTGACATTAAGATAAGAAGTTTTTACTGCCTCATAACGGAGCACTACTCTAATAACCAAGTTCTCTATGACAACTTTATTTGTAAACAATGTGAGAAGATTGTTTGGAAATAATAAAAAATATTCCTTCTTATTATAAATGAGTGTCTTATGAGCCTATTTTGAATAAATTACATTTTATTTTACAGCTGTTCGTTATGGTCGAGTTCCAAAGAGGTCTAAAAGTCAGGACGACAGTAGCGTGACCTCCACAGATTGCAATATGGACCAGTCGGCTTTGGAGAATAAACAGCTAGCCATCTACGACATCATCTTAAACATCTCCCAGGCCCACCACACAAACTGCCTGGTCACTGAAGATAGAATAAAGAACCTCAGAAGAAAGCCCTCCTCACTGGTATTTAAAACATTGTCTGTGTCACCTCGGTGAGATAGAAATATGTAAAACATTGTCCAGTGTCACCTCACTGAGATAGAAATATGTAAAACATTGTCAATTGTCACCTCACTGAGATAGGAATATGTAAAACATAGTCAGTTGTCACCTCACTGAGATAGGAATATGTAAAACATAGTCAGTTGTAACCTCACTGAGATAGGAATATGTAAAACATAGTCAATTGTCACCTCACTGAGATAGAAATATGTAAAACATAGTCAGTTGTCACCTCACTGAGATAGGAATATGTAAAACATAGTCAATTGTCACCTCACTGAGATAGAAATATGTAAATCGTTGTCTAGTGTCACTTCCCTGATAGAGAAATATGTAAAACGTTGTCTAGTGTCACTTCACTGATATAGAAATATGTAAAACGTTGTCTAGTGTCACTTCACTGACTTGACTGAGATAGAAATATGTTTCTCTCTTTACGGCTTTGTTTCATCACTCCCATACAGTGATTCTCTTTTTGTTTTCTAATATGTTAGAGAACACTTATTATGATGCAGGGTTGTCCCTAAGAATTGAAATAGCAGGGCACAATAAAAAAGTAGAAGGGGGGTCTGGGGTTCCTCCCCTAACAGGGTTGAGGGGGAATACCAGAATAACTGGGGATTATATCATAGGATGGGAAATTCTCTGGCCTATAAGGGAAAATATATGGGTTTTCCCCAAGTTGTCTTAGGGACAACCCCGTGATGTCACAATGTGCTATGTAATATTGTTTTGTGTCATGCAGTAATTGGGTTCCATAATGTTTGCTCTTTAGTTACCGTTTTTTCTCCTCTTGTTCTTGAACTTTTTAATTGTCAGTAAACACTCAGCAAGCCTCATGTCTGTTGACAATTAAAAAGATTAAGGAACTCCAGTCGGAGGAAAACCAGGAACTAACTTGCACAAGTTATATAACCTATGTAAAACTTAGAATATCATCACCACACTGATGGAGAAATATTTACAACAGAACATTGTTAATTGACCGGTATAACTCAGTGTATAACCAGACAATTGTCACTTCCCTACTAAAATGTGTAATATGAGATTTTTATTTATGTATTGAAGATAGAATATCTCTAAAGAATATGTCTTTATGGTGCCATATGTTGTTGCTGATTATCTTTAAATTGGAGCAGAATTCCTTACAGATTTAAATACATGTACTGTCATTCATTCTTTCAGATGCAACAGATTTCCATTCCTTCCACACCCGTTCAGTTCAGTGACGAGGAACTCGAGGCCCAGAAATTGTCCATGTGGCATTGTCTGGCTGGCTTCATCACCCCCGCCATTAACAGTGTTGTGGAGTTCGCAAAACGGGTCACAGGTAAGGAGGAATGATAAAAATTGTCCATGTGGCACTATCTGGCGATCTTCATCACCCCCGCCATTAACAGTGTTGTGGAGTTTGCAAAAGGGGTCACAGGTAAGGAGAAATGATAAAAATTGTCCATGTGGTCTGTCTGGCTGGCTTTATCACCCCCCACCATCAACAGTGTTGTGGAGGTCGCAAAACGGGTCACAGGTAAGGAGGAATGATAAAAATTGTCCATGTGGCACTATCTGGCGATCTTCATCACCCCCACCATTAACAGTGTTGTGGAGTTCGCAAAACGGGTCACAGGTAAGGTGGAATGATAAAAATTGTCCATGTGGCACTATCTGGGGGTTTTCATCACCCCAGCCATTAACAGTGTTGTGGAGTTTGCAAAATGGGTCACAGGTAAGGTGGAATAATAGGAATAGCCCTTGTGGCACTCTCAGGCTGGCTTCATCAACCCTGCAATCAATAGCGTTGTGGAGCTTACAAAACAGGTCAGAGATCTGGAGGAATAATTGAAATAGTCCATGTGGTCTGTCTAGTTAATTTCATCCATGAATCATGAAACAGTGTCAAGAGATTAACAAAACTGATAAAGGTATACTTACTTTGATATAATTGGGGATACTTTGATATGATCACAGGTATACATACTTTGATATAATTGGGGATACTTTGATATGATCACAGGTATACATACTTTGATATAATCACAAGTATTCTTACTTTGATGAAGGAATTGATTTTGAAAAATCACTGAAATTTTGATTAAAAAAAAAAGGGAAGTCTGGTTCCATGAGCTCAATGATATCAATAACTAATCCCAACTACAAAGTAGAGAAATTGTTGTTCTACTAATGTATTCATGAGCTCATTGGAGAGTAAAGAACAGAAGTCACACAGGGAGAGTAATTAATCATTCAGGAAGAAGGACATAATGATTAAAAATCTTATAAAGTGTTTTATCCACTAGTCAAAAATAGAGCAAATGAGAGGCACATGGAAATGGTCATACGTAGTAGAGGTTATACATCAGAAGGTCATATAGAATAAATGTCACATATTCAAATGGAGTAATGGTCACATAGAATAGAGGTCAAGGTCATTCAGGGCAAGCTAAGCCCAGTTAGAAGTGTAGACTTCACCTTAAGGAGGTTGGATCCTGCCATCAAAAGTAATTAGAATTTTTTATCAAGTATATTTTTAGAATCTACACACGTAGCTTAATTTAAAATGAAAACAAAAAATGGGGGTCAATGCGCTTCTTTTGGCGCTACAGGGCACTTAGTTTGACCTTTTTGCACTGCAAATACATCATACACATGATTGAATTTTTAAAGTTTTCCTTCCAATATTTTTTTTTATTCAAATAAATTATGGGAACAAACACAGTCTTATTTCATTTTGAATAGATACATTAAAATTTGTGACAACAAAAATTTCTTTAAATTACTTCGCATGTTTAATTATTTGACCTTTTTGCACTCAAAAATATCATTTTTCTGGCATTAAAAATTTTAACAAGCAATAAAATCATTTGAAAGTAATGACATTTTACTGAATTTAAGTAGAATGGTTAAAAATATCTTGTATATTCAGAAAATAAAATGAAAAGTGGGGGCCTGTGATGTTAATTTTTAGATAATACTAAAATAGTGCTAATTTTAAGCAAAAGTTAGGGCTATTTTTTTCTGTATTTTCGCAATATATTTGCTATATTTATTGAATATGATGATAAAATTCATGATAGTTTATTTAATATATAATTTAGGACCAGCATGAAACAGTTCACGGCACAGAATAAGTCTGTGTGCAGACTGCATGGAAAAATAGGAATCCAAACTTATTTCAAATACTTCGAAAGAGAAAAAATGATCATTTTCTTCTAAAAATCCATCCGCCACAAGATATAGTTCCTCTCTTAATGCTTTTGGTATGGAACTTAATCATGGAGTTTTAACTGAATATTGTTTAATCGGTATTGTAGATTCCAAATTTATTGTTAGAACTAAAACATTATGCAGAATTTTTTAAATATAGGTTAAGACAAAAATCTGCTCAAAAGCTCAGGAGCGAACCTCGTTAACCTCAAAAATCAATAAAAGAAAGACTTGAAGACTGCAATTCTCCTTACTACCAATAAAAGTAGAAGTGATTTCCACACATCAGATGTTTTCTTTGGAAAGTGGACAGAAGAGGTTGGAACAGAATGAATGCATTTAATTTCCTAGTGTTTTAATGCCCTTGCAGACTGGTAGTTAAATTCAACCTCTCAGTTAAAATAGAGTTCAGGTTACACAAAATCAATGATAAATGCTGGTAGCTTTATTCACTGTTATCTGGTTATTTTAGAAAAAAAAACTATCTTTACCTTTGATATTGTCATTCTGTTGGTAGTTAGGATCATTAGTAAAATTTGCCTCTGTTAATGAGGTTAAAGACCAGTGTCAGTGACCTCACTATAACAAGGGGACCACAGGACATGGTGTAAATCACTGTAAAGAACATGATGTTCCCCTAGATCCTTTATAATGATTTCTCTTTGTACATTTAAGAATGCCTTTACACTAAGAGTCGTAATTCCATTTTAATTGGTATGAGGACCCCCCACCCCCCTTTTCAGTTTTTGCAGAAGAAAATGGGATTTCTTTCTATGAGCTAAAATTTCATTTGTAGGATGCAGTTGATATTCCTTAATTTAAACTCATCTGCATTCTTTTATCACCATCTCAGTTAATGAAATGACTATAAAGAAAGCTCAGTAGGTTAGGATATATTTTCATTTAAAAGTCTTTTTTCTCGAACTATTTGCCAGAATTGACAAGATTGAATTGTAAGATTCATACTAAATGTTCAAAAGAAGGTTCCTGGATTTAATTGGGGATACAAAATGCTGATTTTGTGAAAAAATACTGTTTTAGAATTCACGGAAAATCCTTTGTGTTTAAGTTGACTATTCCATGCTAAGCTTTGTCTTGTAAATTGAAACTCTGGGATATAGGATCAAAATGGATATGAGTATCATAGAAGGGTAAATGTGTATGTGTACAGATGTTAACATTGAATTGAGGCACCACAGGAATCAGATTCACAGTCAGTGACTGTGCACATGCTTCTGTGAATGCTCACTGACCAAAAATCTGCTCAAGATACCAAGTGGTACATACAGACTGACAAACAAAGGTGGACTTATTAAAAGGAAATCTATAGTCCCCTTCCATTTCACCAGTAGGGGACTAACAAGTTTGAAACATGTCATTGAATAAAAGGATAGGGAGAAAAGTCTATAATGTACACATGGTATGTAATATTTATATGATTATTGTTTACAGGTTTTCCTGAACTAAATCAAGATGACCAGCTGATTCTGATCAAATGTGGATTCTTTGAGGTCTGGTTAACAAGAATGGCGAGGATGTTTAACAAAACAGAAGGATGTCTCACGTTTGAGGATGGTAGTATAATACAAAGAGAGGAATTAGGAGTCGTCTTCTCGGTGAGCAGGTTTACTGCTATAGAAAAAGTAACTCTTTTCTAGGTAACTTCATGACCTGAGTCATTCAGGTGGCCAATTGCTATCGGTTTTTGTCTGCCATCGTATGGTTGTGTGTTTTACGTAAACTTTTCACATTTTCAACATCTCAAAAACCACTAGAAAAATTTCAATCAAACTTCCCACAAAGTATCCTAGGGTGAAGGAGATTCAAATTTGTTCAAAAGAAGGGCAGTGCCATCTTCCAAGGGGAGATACTCAAGAAAAGCATTAATAAGTTTGTGTCATTTAAAAATCTTTTTCTAAAGAACCACAGGGCCAGAAGAGTTGAAACTTCTATGAAAACATCCTGGCACAGTGTAGAATCAAGTTTGTTCAATCATTACCCTTGGGGTAGGGTGGGGCCACAGAAGAGGATCAAGTTTACTAGTTTACTTGGAAATTTATAGGAAGAAATCTTTTAAAAATCCTTCTCAAGAACAGCAGGGCCATGATTGGTCATATTAATATGGAAGCATCCTTAGATAGTGCAGGTTCAAGTTTGTACAAATCGTGACTTCTAGATCTGGGGATAGGGTAGGAACAGAATGGGCAACCAAAGTTTTACGTAGGAATATATAAGAAAAATCTTTAAAAAATGTTTTCTAACAACAAAGCCATGAATAGTTATATCTATATGGAAGCATCTTCAGGCAGTGTAGTTGTTTGTTCAAATCATGATCCCCTGGAGTAGGATGGGGCCACAATGGAGAAAAATATTTAAAAATTTTCTCAAGAACAACGAAGCCATGATTGGTCATGTTTATATGGAAGCATCCTCAGGTAGTGTAGATTCATGTTTGTTCAAATCATGAACCCCTGGGGTAGGATGGGGCTACAATGGGCGATCAAAGTTTCACATAGGAATACATAGGAAAAAATCTTTTAAAAGAACAGCAGCTTCATGATTGGATCATCAGGTTCATGTTTGTTCCAGACATGGTAGGGCCACAATTGAAGATCAAAGTTTTATGTAGGAATAGGAAATTTTCTTTAAAAATGTTTGCATGAAAGGAGGGGGTGGGGGGTCATTATACAATGTTCCTTATTTCATTTATTCAATCATGAATAAGTAAGGGGCAAGCTACATAAGTTTGATAACAATTAAAGAGTTCTTTCGTCCAAAGTGGTCATAGCCTGAAAAACTAATGATAATCTGGTGACTGTTAAGGCCCTTGGTTTTAATTTGTTTTAAAAGCAATCCCCTCAAAAATTTGTTTTCTTTCATGCACAATTAAATTTGCCTGTAGTATTGCAAGCAGTAAGAATCAGCTCTTATACTTTATATGTCATAGTTAAGGGTAATAATTTTTCTCTGAATAACAGGAGACATGATGTGTTGTGATTTAAGATCATTTAGAGTGGTAATTTTTTTTTTTATTTATGTGTTGTTTCTAATTGTAGCCAGACTTTGTGAGTTGTATGTTTGACCTGGCCCAGAGTTTGAACCAGTTAAATCTGAATGACACCGAGATCGGTCTCTTTTGTGCCATTGTTCTGGCCACACCAGGTTTGTTTTCTTATCAGTGGGGTAGTAGGGGAAGATAAATCAGGTTTATTTTTGTTTTGTGTGAGACTTTGCCTTAGTCAAAGTTAACATTTGATAACGTGAGCTCTGTAATTGTACAACGTCAGTTCACAGTAAAAAAAATCAGACTTTAATTTTACAACGTCAGTTCAAAGTAAAAAAATCAGACTTGCTATGGTGTATCTCAGGATGCTTAGTAAGAGAAATGCAGGAAAAAAGTATTTAACGTATATATATATTGACCAGTCATGCTGTAAGCAGCATTTTGATCAGTTCTTGGCTTTCACAAAAGATATCAGGCCCATAAGGACAGTCTAGTTTTAATACTGCAGATCTTAATTATCTATTTTAAGCTTCAGCTTTAAATATTGTACAATCTTTAACAGATCGAAAAGGGTTGGAAAATCCAAAAGCTGTAGAAACTATTCAAGATCGCTTGATTGAGGCTCTAAAGCTGCAGATCTGTAGAAATCATTCAACAGAGGAGAACTTGTTTGGGACTACAATAGTGAAACTTCCTCAACTAAGGACACTGGGCGTCCAACATAACGAGATTCTGGAGTGGTACCGCGCTCAGTGGAACAGAGTGAGGTTACCTCCCCTGTTCTCGGAAATCTATGACATCAGCAAACATGAAGAAGACATGTGAACTGTTCAATTATCTCGGGGAGACTTCATCAAGTTTTAGTTCCTGTCTATAAGTCAGTTAATTTTGTGTTATTTTACTTACATGTTTAGAAGATAGTTTATTTGTTCACTGTTAAGTTTCTTTTATAGCTAATGCTAGTGTCTTTATAATGTGTTTTCAAAGCTTTTTGTGATCTTTTAAGAATATTCTTCCATTAATCATTGTATGATGGTGGTGTTATTCATCATGTGTCTTACTGTGCTTACTTGTGTTATTTAGTCTCTTTAGACCAGTCTGTGAGAGATACGCTTAAGCTCTGTACTCCAGGTATACTTCACACATACCAACAAACGTCCAAAGGCGAAACACCTGATATCTAGTGTAGGAAACATCAGTAGAGATATATACACACAGAGATTTGATTTACTTCACACATAACAGCAAACATCCAAAGGCTCCAAGACAGTTCTGAAACATCTAACATTTAGTGTAGGAAACATCCAAAGGCTCCAAGACAGTACTGAAACATCTGATATCTAGTTTAGGAAACATCAGTAGAGATATCCAAGACAGTACTGAAACACTTGATATCTAGTGTAGGAAACGTCAGTAGAGATGTATACACACAGAGATTTCAAGTCTCTTGTTGAATGAACTAAATTAGTAGCCATTTGTTTGTTTACTGGGAAATTTGGCATGCTGCTTTATCACTTATTAACGAACCTTTATACATGTTATAGCTTAGTAACAGATTGGATAATGGAGCAGTAATTCAGTGGATAATTTTTTTTTCTATCTTTTGTATAAACACTAGTCAGTGATAAAAGTTCAAATATTAAAATTAAGTCTTTCCCTTCAGAATCAAATATTTTTTAAAAAAACAGGAACTTTCAAATATTGAATTTTAATTTGAAATATGTCAGTGATTTCTTCAACAGTGTTCAGCATTAATGTTGGAGATTTGACTGAAAAACTAAGTAGACACACACCAAACCAAACCAAAAAAATTAGCCACTTCAGGGTTTTTTTGCATATGAAAGTGAGCATTTTTCATATATGTGTTTTTAATCACACACACACACACACACACACACATATATAGTTTTTTTTTTGTTTTGGCAAAGGAGATATAATTTTTGCTTTAAAAGCATTAATGTAATCCTATGAGAGATGTCCTCAATATATAGTAAATATATCTTACACATTATGTCACAGATCATATGTCCATTTGTGTTATGTTTGTGTCACACCTTGTGCTGATTTCTTTATTTTTAAAGAAAAGACCAGGCCAGTTGCTTTTTACAATTCTTTAACTTTCAAAATTTTATTTTTTCCTCCAGTGTGATTGTTTTGTATGTATAACCCGTATGATGCCACCAGTTCACCAATCTTGTCTCCTACATGTACATGTATTAATAGTCTTACACATTTTTAAAGTTTTGGTTTTTTTTTTTATTACTATTACTACATCATCTATGATGGTAGTGAATTCATGTATGTACCAAGAGTGGTTGTCACTTACCATTACCAAATAACCTGTCTTATTATGGTATGGCACTGTCTGTCTGTCTGTCAATCAAGCTGTGGACACTTAAGTTTTCTGGACTTATCTTAGTCATATTCTGGGGTAAGAAATTAAAACCTGGCATTATAACTTTATATGTGTAATATTGAGCTCATACAGAACAAGTTTGTGTTATGAGGGATTTTGCCCAATAATAGACTTGTGGCCCTTGGAAATTATTACAAGTCAGTTTTCCAGATTTGTTTGGCCATGCTTTGAGATTCTGATTTCTTAGTTGTTTTATCAATAATGTTAAGAGATCAGATTTGAGTTTTGGGAGATTCTGTCTGAAATTCTTTAAAGAATCCCTGTCTTTATTTATACATGTATTAAGAATAAAGATATTTTATCAGTGGCCTTCTGTATAGAACCTATAGGTGCTTATCAAGGTTGAGAGTAGAGTAGGATGTTCAAAGACATGCTGGTAATAAATAATCACTAAAATGTATCAAGATCTTCTTTGAAACTAGATATATATATATCCTTGTTAGTGGCAATTTATTTTTGAAAAATATTTGATTTTTTCACCACAATAATTCTGATTTATAAAGTTATGGCACTTAACACTTTTTATTGTCCGTGATGATGTAAGTTTGAGGACTAGACATACATTAGACCATTGGGAGTAACCTGGTTTTTGGATCCAATGTAAATTAACCATAATTGATAGTTTTGTAATATTGATGCAGGCTAGAACCAGACAACTTGTGTTATCCATAGAAAGGACAAGATAGGCTAAGACCCCTTTTTGGCCCCTGGTTTTGGGTGTCTTTCAGAATGATGCAACAGTTTATCAACAGAAACCTGTTGTTACCCCTGCCACAAAATGAGTATTGGTTATGGGAAACACAGAGGTCACAGGAAGGTCCGAAAATATGTCAATTTCCGAATTTTCTCATTTTTATGCAAATTTTCATCGATTTTACAGCATATTTTGTTTCAGAAACATAGAGCACAAGCTTGCCTATCTATGAACTTTATATATTTCATACACTAGTATCATATGCATCTTATTGTATAAAAATCTCAGATAGGCAAGGTTGTGCTCTATGTTTCCCGAAGTAAAATGTATCTCAAATTTGACGAAATTCCACAGGAATTGAGGAAATTTGGGAAAATGTCCTACTTCTGCACCCTCTTGTGGCCTCCCTGTAAGCTTTGAATCAAAATTGTGCTGGTTTTAAAACAAGCATCATTTTAAGTTCTTAACTACAAACTATCATAATTTTAACTGTGTTCTGATTTTTACGTCAAATAAGGGGCCAGATTCAGCCGTTACCATACCTTGTCCTTTTACAATGTGTTTATTTTTGCTTTGATTAGTTGCTTTTATGAAATATTATTATACTTTCATGTAAATTAGTTGAATCTGATTCGTTAAGAAACATCTGTTAAAAAACACTATTACCCTCTAAATAATAAAGCCACGCCCTCCATCATAGCAACAGTCAACATTGCTTGACAACAGGTGATATTCCAGAAAATATTGACTGCTCAGAATTTATGGGCACAAGGTTCACTGTAACATGTATATGTATAAAACATTCAGTATAATATAATAAATATTGCATGTAGCTGAGTGTAACATTGAAAATTTCTACCCCTTGAAAACCATTGTCAACCTTGGCTGCACCTCGGATGACAATGGTTTTACTGGGGTGAAAATTTTCAATGTTACACTCAGCTACATGCAATATTTATATAATACATTGTTTCAGCATAGAAGTCTGGTGACAAACTTGATGTCTATATTTGTTGATTGTTTAAAGATCATTTAACTGACATGGAGTTGTTTGACCTCATGTAAGATTTTGTAGAACTTCATTTGCATTTGTCCATATGTATATGCTCAAGCCAAGTTAAATTTTTGTCCATTATATTTGTTAGCTGTAAGTTTAGTGAGGATATAAGTTATAACAGAGAACCACTGCCACAGCTTGTGTATTGTTCATCAACTCCGTTGTATCATGTCTCAAAATCTCTCTGCAGTAAAAGCCATGTACAAGACAAAGCAGTTGTTTCTATTGTAACAGTCACTTGAAGATTAATATTGTAATTAAGAATGTTGTTTGAAAAGCTCATCTGACAAAAATGGTGTGTAATAAAACTGGCTGGTTGTTTCCCCTGTCAGTTTATACATATGTTGATGTGTATCTACAGATAAACAGAAATTACAACCCAAATTGTGCCATATATTGTACAGAGTTCTCTTTTTTTATTTTATTAAGAATATACATGTATGACCTTTTTTATGAACTTAATATGTTAATTTGTGTTGTCCTCTTTGTTTTGATATGTGAAGGTTAGAATGCTTGCTGCCTGGTAGCTCAGTTTCATGGCAATTATGTGTGTTGGCTTATATGCTTCTGTAGAAAATGCCCCAAGTAGATTTCAACAATGAATTACAACAATTGGAATTAGTGCTTTCTTTACGTGTCCTTTTTGTTGTAAAATTCCTTCTTTTTTTTTTTATCAGAAAACCCAACTGTATATTTTAAACCAGATTTTTGTTTTTAAAAAGTTGAATTTTTTTAGTTCTCTAAAGTTAACCTTTTTTGACAATTTTAGAGAACTGCATTTTTTTATTTTTTGGAATTTTATTACAATTTGAAAGGAAAACAACCTTCTTGTTGTTAACCAGATGTTCGTTCATCCAGCCATGTTTTCTTTTAATCTTTTATAAACCATTGTATTTCTAGTCTTTGACAATGAAGTAGATTTTATCACAAAAGATGATTCTGAAGAAAAGAACACTGGAATAGTAGAGGTTACTGCTCCATCAGTATACATGTATCTAAGTTACAAGTATTAGCATAAAATACACATACATACACTGTGGCTACTGCTCTTGCTTACAGTGTATCAACGTTTAGATTAGAGATGGCTGAGATTTCTTTGTATAATTAATTATATCCAGTTAATTATACATTATCTTCTTGTTCTGGGAGAAAAACACATTGAGTATGTTGTACCGTTAATTTGCAATATCTGTGTTGGTTACTGAACTAGCCTTGGTATTAAACTGAGAGAAGGAACCTCTTGTAAAATTGGCAACAGGTGGTCTGTCATACACCTCTACCTCTCTTTGTAGCACTTGTCATTTCATCACCCTTTTGTTTTGGTCCTGTTGTCTACAGAATATGTTTAGGTCATTTCATCCCCCTTTTGTTTTGTTCCTACATCTAGGTCAGTTCATCAATTTCAGGGATTTAAAAAAAAGTTTGTCTTTTCCAAAAAAAAATTAATAAAAAAAAAGTTATCTGCAAAGATTTTATTTTGAATAAGTGCCAAAACTTCATTAGAAGCATCATTATCATGAGAAAATGCTTGCTTACTTTCTATGAATTGTGAAACGGGTAATAGACTTTCTGTGTATGGAACATAACCTGGTAGAATTGTGTAGGACTCATTACTGCTGTTGTAAGCTGGGCCACTGTGTAGTGTACCAAAATAGGGCAATATCTGTTGTTACCTGTTGTTACCTGGCTTCTTGAGACAAGGGCAGAAACAAATGTAATTCCGAAGCAGAAACTGGAATTAATGAACTTTGTTATAAACTGTAGAAAAACAGATTTTCCTTTGTGTTGTGTTGATTAGCTTTGTTGAATATAAATGCCAGATTTGAAATTGTGGTCAAGTATGAAAGGTAAAATGTATTTTCCCCCAAACATTTAGAGCTGAATTTAACAGATACTTTTTTGTAGTTTTTTTTTTTATTCAAACTAAGTGTATGAAAGAAATAAATTGGTATATTGAAGCATCAAAAATATCAGTCTGCAAAATTTCTCCTTTATTGAGATAGGAGTGATGTGTCCTTTAAATTTTATGTTTGTAATTTGCCAAGTAAGTAAAACAAGGCAAAGTAATTCTTGACCATAGTGATACATGTACCATACAACTTTCAATGTACATGTAGGTTTTATAAATGTCAGAGACGCTTCTTTATTATCACTGAAGAAAGCACCCATTTTGTCTTCTGAATGTACATTTTATCATGAAAATAGAATATGCATGAATTTTGCTTAATTTTCAGCATTAATTTTTACTCCACAAATTCTGTTATCAATAAAAGTCACAATACCAGTTTGTTATACGTGTAATTATTTGAAGGGAATGCTTCAGGCGTTTAAGTAAGCTGATCAAATGGACAGGGAGGGTAATACTCCGACCTCCACACATCTGATTTATATGCAAGACATTATAAGGGTTATAATTAATGCTAGTGTTTGTTTACTACTTTTAAAACTTGGTAAAATTTACGTTATGTTTGTGATTTATTTTCCAAAGAGTTTATCATAGAGATGATGATGATTTAACATGTTAACGAGCATTCTGAGAGTACTGCGTAAGCAATACTAGTTCCTTACTGGCAAGTGTAATTTGGTTCCTTTTGAAAGGCATCGAAGCGGAAGGAAGTGCAAACTTGATTTATAACTCGTCAAGGTACACTCGCATACAAAAATCAGCTCAATATCTACAAGCGTTCTGAAAAAGGTGAAGAAGACTTGGTGGGACAGAGGAACGGACGGACAGACAGACAGCTAGGCAGACGAGGAGGAATCCTATAGTCCCCTCCCATTCCACCGGTAGGGGACTATTAATTATTCTAGGTTGTGGCTCCAGAGCTCCGGAAGAAACTCTTATCTCAACGGTTAACATGACCTTGACATTTAAAAAATGACCTTGAATCATATTCATGACATCAGGCACACAAACACAACAAACAAATCAATGAATTTTACGTCATTCATGTGGGGGCTTTAGCATAGCTAGGTGTGACATTTTTCCGATCTTTCCAGTTCCCTCTAATGACTTGCATATCACATAATTTTTTCTGTCTTTACAGGTCATCCTCTTCCCTTTACCAATATGCAGACTAATATAAAAATATGCATTGTACATCATTGTTTGATATTTATTCTTTAAAAAAGAAAAACAGACCCTTACCAGTTCTATCCATAGTTGCCCATTTCCGGAAAGCAGCAAGTCCTTTGCGCAATTTTTTTTTCTCTTTTTCAGAAATATTTTATCTTTTTTCCGTTTTTCTTTTAACAATTTCACTTTTTAAACCAATTTCATCACGTGTAGTATTTTTCTTAGCGTGAATAACCAAAGGATGCTGATAGGGGTGTGAGAGCGAATAATGTATATACAACACAGGAAATTTTGCTACATATTTTCAACAAACATATTGAGAAAGATGAAGTTAACGAACAATGGTCGATCTCAAAAAATCTAAAATAATAATAATAATAATACAAATCTGTGAACAGTGCATAAAACACGGACCCCCGGAAATTCCAGAGATGAGATCAGGTACATGTACTTAAGAGGAGTAAGCATCTTCTGTCGACCGGTAGACGGAATATTCAGTAGTCAAATTTGGTATAAAAAAAAAGGCCTAACAATTGTTATAAACACGTCACCTAAATGATAGGTTGTACTTCTTAACAAGGTCATTATAACGACCATAGAGTCGCCCGCGTGGCGAAGTGGTTAGAGCGTTTGCTCTAGAGTCGCGATGTAAGGAGTAGATCCTTACGTCGCGGGTTCGAATCCACTACGGGACGTGGGACGTGGAGACCGTATAACTGAGGTCCCGTGTCGCAGTAGGTTTTGGCACGAAAAAGATCCTCACTGCTCAGTGGCCCTGAGTGCCGAGTATAGGTCAAAAATTTGCAGCCCTCCACCGGCATGTGGTGACGTCTCCATATGAGTGAACAATTCTCGAGAGGGACGTTAAACAACAACAAACAAACAAACGACCATAGAATTTACGAAATGCTGACTCTAAACGAGGTTGTCGAAATTCTTGTAACGTCAATTTATCTGTCAGTAGTCTGCCTCGGTTTTAAAACTGATCGTACTCGGAGCATAATGCATGCTTTTGAACATCGAATAAGTTGGGAGACATACATAAACACCA